GAATGAGCGAGCATGTTTGGTGGGACGGGGATTCGAAACTGCGACCCTCAGATTACTAGTTGAGTACCCTAACCACCTGGCCATGTCATGCCACATTTATGAATTTTTACGTTACGCTTAACTGTGTCTGATAGGGGTACTTTCAGCTTATTTTATTATCTACCGATTTCTGTGTTCGATTTGTTTCAGCGCAAAGCTATCTGCACTCCGTCTACCAAGGAGAATTGAACTCCGGATTTTAGCGTTGTAATTCCGTATAGTTACCGCTGACCTATTTTATAGTGACTCTCAAGCAAGGAATTTTAATTGCCAAAACAATTGTTCATTTTCCAATGAATGGTCTTTGGGTTGTGCACATAAATAGATTCGAAACAACACAACATCAAGTTAAGGTTAACAAAAACAGTGGAATCACTCTAGAGACTGTACTGTTGCTTTGTAAATAATAAGATGTTATTTAATATTTTAAGTCGAAATACTGTAAATCGAACTGTATTTTACTGAAAACACTACATAAGAATCTGTACGTAAAACTGAAATTCTTTGAAATGATTGATTATTTTCTTTGATATCTGGCCAATGTCTTTAAAAAATAAAAAGCACGATTTTTCAAAAGTTATCTGATTTGTAAAACTAAAATTGATGACGTAAACTCACTAACTATTAAAACATGACGATTTAGAGTAATCACAGGTTGAAACAAAACGTTTATTGATTTCTTTATGCAACGGGAGGTGTACGATGTTATTATTTTGAGATTTTGGGGGGAGCACTAAACTATTTGTGTATATATTTTTCAATAGATACCATACTTTTAAACCCTAAAGCGTATCAACGAACCAGTAAAATGTATACAACATCAAAAAGAAATACAAATACAATCACGTAATTCCGTTTTCTGTTAACAAGAAAAGCAAATAACAGCTGACTGATAAGTTCAACTTTCTTTTAATATAGGGAGTTCTGTCCCGGTCAATGGAACGATTTAACTTCTAGAAAAAGTCAAAAAACAAAATCAGCCTTGATATCTACGTTTTATATAGCACTGTTATATTTGTGGTGACCTTACTGAATGTTCACCTATTTCCTATCTGTCAGAGA